GCATTCGTGCGATTTCTCGCAACTCTTGCGGTGGATTAAGATCACGATGTTAAAAGTGAGAGATCAAACACATCGCTATTTTCTTCTACTATATACTTTGAGATAAATAAATCTTTCCGTCGATTTAAATAAAAATCTGAATTTTTTGAAATAGAAATATCTTGATTCGTGCACGATACGATGATAATGTTTGCATTACTATGGAGAATAAAATTTTTTAGTTCTAATCTTGGAAAATTCTGTTTCGCGAAACGCCTCTGCAGATTTGCACGAAGATCCATAAAAGACAATGTATTCAGTTAAGAGAATTGCAGACTGTCAGCGGCAAATAGTCGCCGCGTATATACATAATTCATCGATCGACATCCCCGGACGAATCACAGCGGGCGAGAATCTCTCGCCAAGATTACAATGGAATGCAAAAATGATTGCGTGGGCTTACCTAGCCGTGACACGGTTGCGTAATAACGAGAGACGATAATCGGCCGACGATCGCGAAAAGGAGTTAATACGTACGTCGGGAACTGACTCGTTAGCCGAGAGGAGCATGAGGTTCTTTGTACACGCCGTTTAAACCTTTTAACCTCTTAATTAATCGAGTGACGAGATCTTTGATCTCTCCCCATTTAAAGTCTGTAGATCATCTAGATTATTCACGCTGGAGATATTGTCGGTTCAAATTTCTCTTCTTTTTGGCAAAAATAAAGAAATATAAATGTTAAAAAATCATATTTTAATGAAAAATATAAAAACATACAAGCAAATAATAAACATCGTAATGAACTATGCTAAACTTGCAGCGCAAAATAATAAATACAAAAAATTACGATATTACAAAAATAATAAACTTTTATCTTCTTTTATATTGTAATCTTTAAATACGCTATTTTTTCTAAAGTAAAAGATAATTATAATAATAAATATTACATAAAAAAGAGATATGAGATGCTGGAAATAAATTTTTCCAGCATTAATTAACATGTAAATTTAAAATGTATTTTAGCTAATGGAAACTCGTTTCATTAATTGATATAAGCTATATATGATCAATGTTGGCCTCGAGAAAAATTCTTTGTAAAATTGTCACGAGTATTCTCATGTTGATTATAGGACGAGTGTAGAATAACCAATATTATAAATAGAAAATAAACCAAGCAATTTTGCTTACCAAATATACCGTAATAACAGAAAA